CCCAACAAATGCACAAATCAAATTTCAATTGAACATGAAAAGTATTTCTGGATTAATCGTGTCCACAGCGATTATGTTGTATTTGTTTCATTAAAGTTGATTTGGCCTGGATTTTCTCAGAGGTATGCGCGTTTCTATCGTTATCATTACCTCTAGGGGCAATCTCATTGCTACGCGCGTTTCTGTCGTCATCTGTACCTTCAGGCGATCTTATTGCATGAATGGTCGCCCCTAGAGGCACGCCCGTTTTACTCGTCATCTGTACCTCTAGGGGCGATTGATGCATTGATGGTCACCCCAAGAGGTACGCGCGTTTCTATCGTCATCAGTACCTCTAGGGGCGATCCGTTGCAATTGTGGTCGCCCCTAGAAGTACGCGCGTTTCTATCGTCATCAGTACCTGTAGGGGAGATCTTATTGCATTTATGGTCGCCCCTAAAGGTACGCGCGTTTCTACTCGTCATTTGTACCTCTAGGGGCGATCCTATTGCATTTATCCTCGCCCCTATCGGTACGCGCGTTTCTGTCGTCATCTGTGCATCTAGGGGAGATCTTATTGCATTTATGGTCGCCCCTAAAGGTACGCGCGTTTCTACTCGTCATTTGTACCTCTAGGGGCGATCCTATTGCATTTATCCTCGCCCCTATCGGTACGCGCGTTTCTGTCGTCATCTGTGCATCTAGGGGAGATCTTATTACATTTATGGTCGCCCCTAAAGGTACGCGCGTTTCTACTCGTCATTTGTACCTCTAGGGGCGATCCTATTGCATTTATCCTCGCCCCTATCGGTACGCGCGTTTCTATCGTCATCTGTAATTCTGGGCGATCTTATAGCATTTATGGTCGCCCCTAAAGGTACGCGCGTTTCTATCGTCATCTGTTTTTTCGGGCGATCTTATTGCATTCATGGTCGCCCCTAGAGGTACGCGCGTTTCTTTTCGTCATCTGTATCTCTAGGGGCGATCTTATTGCATTTATGCTCGCCACTATTGGTACGCGCATTTTATCGTCATCTTTTCCCTCTAGGGTCGATCTTATTGCATTGTTCGTCGCCCCTAAAGGTACGCGTGTTTCTATCGTCATCTGTATTTCTGGGCGATCTTATTGCTTTTATGGTCGCCCCTAGAGGTACGCACGTTTCTACTCGTTAACCGTAACTCTAGGGGCGATCTTTTTGCATTGTTTGTCGCCCCTAAAGGTACGTGCGTTTCTATCGTAATCTGTATTTCCGGGCGATCTTATTGCATTTATGGTCGCCCCTAGAGGTACGCGCGTTTCTACTCGTCATCTGTACCTCTAGGGGCGATCTTATTGCAGTGTTCGTCGCCCCTAGATGCACGCGCGTTTTTATCGTCATCCGTACCTCTAGGAGCGATCCTTTTGCAATTATGGTTGCCCTTATATATAGAGGTACGCGCGTTTCTATCGCCATTCTGTACCTCTAGGGGCGATCTTATTGGATTAGTGGTCGCCCCTCGAGGTACGCGCGTTTCAATCGTCATCTGTATCTCTGAGCTATACTACATTTAGTGTTTGATGTGTCCTGATGAAATTTCAGAAACTTCTTTACGACATCATAACCAATGAATATCAATTGATTACATGAGGTATTTCTGGAGTTATCGTCTCCACAACGAGTATGTCGTTTATTGTTGCATTAAAGTTGACATTAATTTCGATTTGATTGTTCGCTGATCTCACTCTATTTTTCGATTGTATAAAATCTGGTATTTGATATGTCCTTCTGAAATTTTATACGATTCTCAAAGACATCACGACAAATGCACAAACCAGATTTCAATTGAACATGACAGGTATTTCTGGAGTTATCGTCTCCACAACGAGTATGTTGTACTTTTGTTCCATTAAAGTTGACATGAATTTGGGTTTGATTGTTTGTGCTGACCTCACTCTATTGTTTTGGTTGTATTAAATGTTGTATTTGATAAGTATGTTGTTTTGTTCCATTAAAATTGACCTTAATAAATACTGCATCTTTTGTGCTCACCACAATAATTTGTTTTCGTTGAATTTTAGGTTGTGATTGACATTTGACAATTTCACAGACTTCTTCACGACATAACGACTAATCAGAAGCAAGACTTCAATTCATCACAAGAAGTATTGCTGGATTTTTTTGTCTTGACAATGAGCATGTTGTTTTAGTTCCATTAAAGTTGATTGTAATTCGAATTTACTTTTTGTGCTGACCTCACTGAATTGTTTTAGTGGTATAAGATTGAATGTTCGACATTTCCTTTAACAATTTCACAGACTTATTAACGACATCACGACTAAGCAGTAAACAAAATTTCAATTCATCACAAGAGGTATTTCTCGAGTTATTGCCTGGAAAACAAGTGTGTTGTGTGTTCCATTAAATTGGACCTCGAATATAGTCGATCACTTTGGTGCTTCCAAGGCTTTGTGAAATAAATAGGTTTGAAAACATCGTTAATTATTTCTGCTATGTATTTTTAACTCAAATGAAGATCACGTGAACGTAGGTCACTTTTTGGGGGGTGAAATTTGTAAACGGGTTTAGAATTTGTTTTCATTTAAAACGTTAAAATATGTAAACATCAAACCTTTACCCAATGGCACAATATTGTTATAGACCCATAACAAGGTATATTTAGCTTTAATGAAAGTGTCAGTCTGTTTTTAAGTTAGTATGTTAATGATGGACACCATTGTGCACTGGTCAGCCAATTAACATTAATGACAGTTCTTCATAACCACCAATTATATCCACACAGGGTATTCAGAAAACAGTATTTTTTTCAATCATCAATTTATTTTCCTTATAACTTATCAATTATAAGATGGAAGACATCTGCACTAGAAAGCAGGAGGTCGTGGGTTCGAGTCCCACCCGAGTGATTTTTTTCCAACTTTCACTCGGGAGGTAACACACTGAGTATACAGTGTTTAAACGTTGGTTAAGGGCAAAACCTTTACCTTGAGTTATTACTTATTAATTCTGAAGTTCTTCAAAAAAGGAGTTATAAAAAAACGTATATTATACGATATTCTTTTTATTTATTTGCCCAAAATATATCTATTAACGCAGTAAGGATATATCTATTAATGCAGTACAAATCTTATAGCTACTACAAAAGCCACTCTTATTATATGTTTTCCCGGCTATTTTGAAACGTTTATCATTCAAATTCACCGATTCTAATATTCAAATTCGTCCATCAACATCGATTTAGTGCATTTCGAATATTTAATTTCGTCTTTTGACAGACAATGACAAATTTAGTTCAAGCAAATACATGTAAAACTACAATGAGCACACGTTTTCGTCCCGGAGAAATCGATTTCGTTTTGTCTACGACAAACCTTGTTATTCAGAAATCAAATTCGTTAAATTGATTTATATAAGACGAATTAGATGCTGCCTCTGAATGCTGCCATTTGGCAACAGCCTGAGAGGGGGTGGGGCAGAGGGGGCACTCTTCCCCCAACCCCCTTGGCATTTTTTTTCCACAATTGTTTTTTGTTTATCATTTAGGCCTATTTAAATTAATGGTCCGACATCCCAAATCTCAAAAAAGAAAACCTGCTCAAAATCATTACAATGCGCCGTGAAAATGGGTATATAATTTGCAGTGTGCATAATAATGGTAACTTTTGAAGAGTGCCCCCATTTGGAAGGTGGGTACCAGCCCCCCCCCCCCCCCCCTTATGATTTTACGGAGGCCAAGTGCCCGGAGAACAAAACATGTCTACATTTCGGCACGGATGTGCGGTTGCTCCCCCCCCCCAACATCCAAAACTGGATTCCCTACTGGCAAAAGCTTAGATGACATTGATCTGTAATGACGAATATTTTCAACACGGTGACTAAACACTTTAAGTTTGAAAGGTAAATAACTAGATTGGTTTTGGTAAAAGCGTGTGGAATTTTTCTCGGACGAAATTGAATGTTACAGTTGGTGAATTTGAATAAAAAATCTTTAAAAATAGCCGGGTAAACCTATGAATCAGTCATTTGACATTCAATTTCAAAGTTTGGTCACCCTCTTTAGTCGTCAGGTCGAGAATATTCGTCATAACATACCAAATTCGTCTAAGCTCTTGCCGAATGGCAGCATTCAGAGATTGAAACCGTTTAATATAAAATCAATTAGACGAATTTGATTTCTTAATAACCAGGTTTGGCGTAAACGAGACGAAATCGAATAGTCCGGGAGGAAAACGTGTGCTCGGTTTGAATTTGCTTGAACTGAATTTGAAATTGTCTGACACAAGACGAAATTAAACATGGGAAGCGCACTAAATCGATGTTGATGGACGAATTTGAATATTACAAACGATGAATTCGAATGATAAACAATTAGAAATAGCCGGGAAAACCTATATTATAAAAAGCCAGTATATTATCCGTTTATATTTTTATTAGTTTGCCCAAGATATATCTAAAGAAGTTATTAATGCAGCACAAATCTTAAAAGCTACTACAAAAGCCAGTAGAAAAAATATTGAAAAGGTTTGAAAAGGGTTTTTAAAACTCTGATTATTGACATCAGAGAAGGCAGTACCAACGGACATCAATATTTTATTTTTAATTTTCGATCTTTAGACGTTAAGTTAAAGGATACAATCTAAAATGTAAGCAGGTGCTGTCATGGAATGAACAAAAGTATAAAAACTGTCATCAAATGATGTGCTCATCTATACCCCTGATTCACAATTAAGGTTAAATTACAATAGACGGATCAAAATCGATATTGATAACTGAAATGAAAAGTGTGGACCACCTCCACACCAAAAAGCCCCAAAACTATGGCCACACAACTGTATATTACAAACGATGTTGATGTGGCAACTATTTTGAAAAGATAAAATAGAAAGAAAAATGACAAAATTAAACGACCTGGGACACTTAACCTATTTCTATTGTCACATGGGTGGAAACACTGTCGCTGTTTAAGTAGCAGTGCTTAAAAGTGGTTACGCTGCTGTGTGCTCAACGCAACAAGCACCCATTTTAAGCACCGCAACAGTTGGCAACGATCAAGTGCAAGAGAACCACTTGTATATGATCTCCATACGAGATGTTGAACACATCCACCGTGGACACCGAAGGAATGGCCTGAACATGGAGTAAAATGGCAGAACGATAAATGTTAGACGTTTGTTAACCTTTCGACTTTTTAAAATTGTTCTTTTTTTAACTGTTGTTGTCAAATTCATCGCAAGTCTCTTTATTCTAAAGTCAAGTCACAAGATGTTCAAATGAACTGTGACCGAAACAGTTCTTTGCCACTGTTGATCCCTTGTTACTTGTGAATGGGCTTGTAAAGGGGCATGTGATTTACTTGTGACCAAGAGACCTTTGATTGACTCGACAACACTGTTAATTACGCCAAACACCGAACTGCAGGTTGTTAAATGATAGGACAACAGGGCGAATAAAAGAAAGGAAACCCAAATGGCGCCTCCTATGTTTTGAAAGAAGTTCTTCATTCAGCGATTTCCAGATCAAGGATATGAAAGTCCAATTTTTATACGCTTTATTTTAGTAAAATAATCGTTCATATCGCTCATGTACTTTTCAAGTTATGGACATTTAAACAGAAACTTTGTTTTATAATCTAGTCCACGGATCACAATAAAGGTAAGTGATCTTCCAGCAAAACAAAAACATTTAATGTATCAAAAACACATTAGAACACTCTCATAACAATGATAACTGGCACTTACCATAACCTTTATTTCAACACCGTCTGCTTCCTATGTTTAAACAACATGCTTTATGAGGTCAAAAGTTTATAGTCTTGCCCTGCCTTGTACTCGGCCACTCAGGAGACTTGTGCGATTATTCTGATAATACGGTTTTCATGAAACGACATAGTTTCATTTTACTGAAATATTATGTACCTTGACAGTGATCCATGGGCAAAATTATAAAACTGTGTTTGTGTTCAAAATTGTATAACTCAAAAGTACCAGTGATTTTAATGATTCTTGTACAAAAAGAGAGTTTTCACATCTTAGGTTCTTTACACAATAGGAGGCGCCATTTGGGTTTCCTTTTTTTCTCACTCTGTGTTTTCATTTATTGGTTTATTTTGTCATCATATCTTACCTGCTATCCTTTGTTGACTTTAAAGAAAGTGTAGCCTAGCACGAGAAGCGACAGGCCAGACAATATATTAAAACTCCAAGTTGCAATGCATTTATTCGCTGCAAAGTAGTCCTTTATAGCCGCCTAGGAAGCAAAGAAAGAATGCCAAACGGCAAAAGTTTAATTTCGTAAATTTACATTCACTCAATGCAAAACTGGCCGTTTTCTAGAGTTGTTGTTGAAATTAACATTCCATTGTGAATGTCGTGGAAACAATAGGTCCAACTCATTTGCAATAACACGAAAACAAAACTGGCATATGAATCAACTGTACTGCATCAATCAACTGTCTGTGTGAAAAAAGAAAAGAAAAAAAAAAAAGAATCTGGGACCCAGTCTCTAACTTAACACATTTCCATAGTCATATGCTATCAGACTACCGAAGGCTCGATCTTCTCAAAAAGTTGGATATGTACCAGTCTGGTCTTAGGCTTCAAATGAATATCACTGGGCTTCATTCTCAGGTGCGAAATCAGCGAAAAGCTGATACAGGGCTGACTGCCCTGTATTCCACCCTCTGAATGGCGTACAGGGACCTAATCGACCTCGGCGAAGACACCTTTACCACCGCGGGCTGGAAAATATCGTTGGCTAAATTCAAAATCAGAAAGTTTTTGCCTAGCAAAAGCAGGCTACCAGTCCAAATGTCATGCGATATATATCGTTTGTGACTGGTTCCCAGCTGATGCTTGCTACGCAAATTAAATTGTGAGCAACATTCTCTGTTTAATTTGTAGCTTTATAAAATTGGTCTTTACCCAGCCTCCCTGGTTGATAATCCAGTCAGCAGCCTTGGTGACCAGTAACGTGACTATTTCTTTGATGAGCTGATTGACCCAGCTGGGAACATCCGGCAGATACTTCAAGACCTAAACACGAAATAAACAAAAACAAAAACATAACATAACAATAACAGAGTCTTACCAATTAATTTCCCCAAGTTGTGTCTGTGGCTTCGAGTTCAATTGAAATAGAGTCCGATTCTTTTAATATAGGTTTTCCCGGCTATTTAAAAAAAAAATCATTCAAATTCACCAACTCTGACATTCAATTTCGTCCGAGAAAAAAAAACACAGGCTTTTACCACAATCAATTTATTCATTTACCATTCAGTTTCAAAGTTTGGTCAACCTCTTTAGTGTACCGTGTCGAGAATATTCGTCATTACAGATCAAATTCGTCCAGGCTGTTGTGGAATGGCAGCATTCAGAGATCAAATTCGTCTGTTATCGATCAATTCAAAACTTGTATAAAGTAAATTAGTCAGGTGTGTTCTAGAGAATTTTTCTTCTGTCCCCAAGCACAATTTGGCACATTCGCCGGCATTTTTTTCGACCAAAGCAGAGTACTGATCTCAAAGAAGAGTTACAAAAAAGTAAAGATTACCAAGATCAACAATACAACATTATTTAAAATAAACAAAAGAAAAGAAACAATCTTAGAATAAAAAAAAAAAGGAAACGTCAAAAGCCACAAATCAATAACCCATAAATACCCGTGTCATAATATTATGCCTAACATATTTTACGAAGATACAATCAAAAGAAATGACACATTTATGAAGAAGTAAGGAAATAAACAAGTAGTAAAGACTTATTCTTATTAGATGCATGTATGCCTTTGAAGATATCGCAATGGAGTAGATTCTTATTCAAATAACTCTGATCCAAACAGATTGCTAAATCTAATGATCATACACTTAAACCGAATGACATAATTTCAATTTGGAAAGTGTTAAACATGAAAATGTCATGTCTGGCAAAGAAAAATAAACGTCTGAAAACGAACTACGAGAATTACAGCAGGGAGTTAATTCGCTTCAAATTATTTTTGCGAAATTGGCCGGCAAAACCTATATTTTTTATAATTATATTCTTGAATCGCGGGTTGAATTTATTCGTGCTGCAGGTAGTCAATATGAAGAAAAATAAATCTTCAACATACTCCCATATTTGTTCTTTCAATTCCTCGGGAATGAAAATCGATTCCTTGTAAAAATGACATTGTTTCATCTTGTCTCACCTTGACACATATCTTGTAGGCAAAGTAGAACAGGGTGATAATCCGTCCCCAGTTTATCCCACCTTCATCGAATGCCTCTTTAGCTACAGCAATGATAGCCTTCATGGGTTCATCTGGGGTTACTGAATCTATAAACCTGCGGAGAGTACAACATGGAGTGTATGGACTCCGTGCACAACCGGCATGGATGTCGCTGAGGGGGGGGGGGGGGGGGGTAATTTGTTTTTGTTGTCCCACGATTTGACCGGGGTGATATGTACGTGGGCTATTAATTTGTCCAGTAGTATAACAGGGGTGCAAATGGCGACACCAAAATAGTCCGAATCAACCTCTTCCCCACCCCCCCCCCCCCCCCGCCCCCCAAAAAAATGCGGCAACAATTTTGGGCAACATTTTTGGAAAAAATCTGCCTTCTAAAAAAACAAATTGAAAAAAAAAAAAATTGTGAGCCCCCAGCCCAATTCGGGGCGCGCCACTGGCTTAATATAGGTCTTCCCGGCTATTGTAAAACATTTCTCATTCAAATTCACCAACTCTTTCAATCCATTTCGTCTGAGAAACTTAAAAAAAAAAAATAGTCATTTACCATTCAATTTCAAAGTTTGGTCACCTTGTTTAGTCACCGGGTCGAGAATATTTGTCATTGCAGATCAAATTCGTCTCAGTTGTTGCCGAAAATGGCAGCATTCGGAGATGGAATTCGTCTTATACAAATCAATTATATAGACGAATTTGATTTCTGAATAGTTTGGAGTGGACGAGACGAAATCAATACTCGGGACAAAAACATGTGTTCTTTGTGTGAATGTGTGCTTGAACGGAATCATGAAATTTTCTGAAAATAGACGCAATTAAACATTGGAAGTGCGTTAAATCGATGTTGATGGACGAATTTGAAAATTAGAAAACGGTGAATTCGATTGATAAGTGTTTCAAATTAGCCGGGAAAACCTATAATATATTTGGGACAACATAAAAACAAGTTGCCCTGCTCAAGACAAACGTTTGTTAGAACTCATCAATGACGTGTCTGGCCAAAAAGAAAGTAAATAAAATAAACCGGTATTAATAAGTATAGGATTGAGGGGTGACACCCAAAAGTCGGGACTTTTGTTTTAGTGAGGCTCTGCATGTAGCACTTTGAAAATCTTGGATAAAAAAGCCCAAATCATATTTTAGTACAAGAATTATTGAAATCATTCATGTACTTTTTAAGTTACGGAATTCTAAATTCATTTTGGTAAAAGAACACTTACCTTCGTGTGATCCGTGGACAGAACTTTAAAACGGTGGTTGTGTTTAAAATTAACTTAAAAACTTAAAAAGTACATGAGTGATTTCAATGATTCTTGTCAAAAAGAAAGCCTATGAATTGGGCTTTTGTATCCCAGATTTTCAAAGTGCTACATGCAGAACTTTACTAAAACAATGGTCCCGACATTTGGGTCTCGTTTTTTTTACTCACCCTGTATATTAAAGTTGTGTTCGCAGTGACCTTCATTTACAATTTTTTGTTTCTCTTAATATAGGTTTTCCCGGCTATTTCAAAACATGTTTCGTTCGAATTCACCGATTCTTATATTCAATTTCATCCAGCAACATCGATTAAGTGCATTTTCAATGTTTAATTGCGTCTTTTGTCAGACAATTTCAAATTTTGTCCAAACAAATTCAAACAATGAACACATGTTTTCGACCCGGTGTATTCGATCTCGTCTCGACTACGCCGAATCGTGTTATTCAGAAATCAAATTCGTCTAATTGATTTATAAAAGACGAATTTGATCTCGGAATGCTGCCATTCGGCAACAGCTTAGACAGATTTGATCTGTAATGACGAATATTATGGACCCGGTGACTAAAATGGGTGACCAAACTTTGAAATTGAACAGTAAAATGACTAAATTGGTTTTATTAAAAGAATATTAGAGTTGGTGAATCTGAATGATGAATGTTTTAAAATAGCCGGGGAAACATAGAATTGTTCACTTGTATATATATGTAGTGTTGTAATCGAGTCACTCTAGTCCAGTCCGAGTTACTTGTGTCGAGTCAGAGTCCGAGTCTCGAGTAATTTAGCTCGAGTTCGAGATCCGAGTCTCGAGTCACACGGTCAAGTCCGAGTCCGAGTCTTGGGTCACTTGGGTCGAGTCCAAGTCCAAGTCTCGAGTCACTTGGTCAGGTCCGAGTCCGAGTCTCGAGTCACTTGGATCCAGTCCGAGTCTCGAGTCACTTGGGTCCAGTCCGAGTCCTGAAAATCATAGGAGTGGGATTTTCATGATATGACACCCGCCCAACAACACGCACGACAATCGATTTGATGTGGCGTTACTGTGATGGGTCAAAAGTCAGTCATTTCGGTGAGTGCTGTCCTTGAATGTTTTAGCAGTCGCGCTTTTCGCAAGTTGTCTTTCTTTCTTTTTTACTCAGTTCCCTTAAATAACTGTATATGTTCTCTAAATACTTAATGCTACTTTATCAGAAATCTGCTTCATTTGGGGCGGTTCTTGTCGAAAAATTGATTTGATCGCGTGATTATTTTTTTCACGCGCGAAGCCTGCAGGCCTAATCACTCCTAAGCTACGAATTCCATAGAGAAGCGACATGTCTCTCAGGACCACCGCAAGATCAACCCACTTTGATGATGATTACACAAAAAACCTCTTGAAATAGTTCTTAAGCCCTTGTAGTAACTGTCCCGAGTATAGCAATTTAAAGACTTTATCGGACGGGTTGGTAAAACGGTCGAGTTGGTAATTAACGGGGCGGTCGAGTTGATCGGACGTGTGAAGTCAAGTTGGGCAACGGAAGAGTATTACAACGGTCGAGTTGGGCACCGAAATCAACAGGCACTGAACGGTCTTTATATAAGCCTCAATCCCACAACATTCTCCAAAAGTGCCTAGTTGATTTTAAAAGATTAGAGGCAAATTTATGTCATATGTACCTCTGGAACCTCACGTCCTGATTCAAGGTGTCCCCAATTTCTCTCAGGCAGGATCCCACTTCCCTGCACTGTTCTATCTCTTCAGGTGAGAGAGAGCCTACATGCTCATCCAGTTTAGGAGCACCCTTGATTGAATCTCTCTCAAACTGATCATTCATGAAAACACGTAGTATCTCAAAGGTTTGTTCAAAGAAATCAGGGTGCTGGCGCTGGCTCTGACGCATTCCATTATCTACATATAATGCATAGAGTATTAAAAACATGCAATACATGCAATATTAAAAACATTCAACAACATGCAAAATAGACTGGCACACGAAGAGTGATATTTCCTTCTCTTTCTTTTGAAAATGTTTTCTACGGTTTTCTTATTTCATTTCCTTCTTCTTTTTTGAGGGAGGGGGGTTCTCGCTGAAGAGACACGGGATACTGTCTTTTATTTTAAATACGCATAAATGCCCCGCAACCTTGACCATGACACCATAACCCTTTTCAATATCAACTTACCTGTGTCACAGGTAACGTTCATTTACATCATTGTTGTCTTCTTTAGGTTATACTGTATTGATACCTTTATGACCCTAGAATAACTGTTTTTGTATGTGATTTAAAAGAGTGAGGGAACGTTAACAGATCATGAATAAGAAATGTGAATAGAAAGACAAGACCAGTGAGTAAACATAGTGTAAAAAGTATGTGATGTACATGTATATATATTAAAACGCTGACACAAAGAGTAACATGGAGAGAAATTCAACTATGAATAATATCACTATTCTTTTCCCTTTTAGATGTATGTTCACTGTAATGGAGTTTTGCCGAATTTCTTACGAGTAAACTTGTGTTTTTGGTGAGAAATGCATGTACTACGCGTACAATGCACCATGCAGCAGTGATATGTTCACTCCTTTGTTTAATATTTGCAAAAGTTCCCCAGAAAGTTATTCCAGTCCAGATAAATTTCAACTTATAGAATAACTTGTACAGATTTTGCACATTAAAAGATAATTCAAGTTAACGTATTCATCATTAGCCTAATTCAATCAACTGCTGGATGAAGGCCTCTCCACTAACTTTCCAAGCTTTTCGATCCCCTGCCAGTTGTTTCCATTTCTTCCCTATGAAATCAGAGATTTCACCTCGCCATCTCTTAGGCTGTCTTCCTCTTCGCCTCTTCAAAGATAATGGCGTCCAATCCGTTACTTTCAGGGTCCATCTGTGGTTGTCTCTTCTCATGACATGTCCTGCCCAACTCCACTTTTTCTTTTTGATCTCAACTATTATGTCTTGCACCCCTGTCTTTCTTCTAAGATCTTCGTTCCTTATTCTGTCTCTCTTTGTGACCCCAATCATTATCCTTTCCATTGCCCGTACGGTGACTCGCAATTTTTGCTCTGATTTCTTTGAAGGTGCCCAAGTCTCAGCGCCATATGTTAAAACCGGGATGATGCACTGGTCGAAGAGTTGACGCTTCATCTTTTGCAGTATTTTTCTGTCCATGAATATGTAACTCAACTTGCCAAATTTTGCCCATGCAAGTTGTATTCTCCTCTGAATCTCCTCTGAATTCCCAACCTTAAATGTGATCTTCTGTCCCAAATATATGTACTCATCTACTGTGTCCAGTGTTTCATTCCCCACTTTAAATTGTGTTATGCCTAACGTATTCACATGCCGTTTGATTTTGGTTGTGAAAAAAACCTGACAGAGTAAATGTTAATTGGAAACTAAACACAAATATACAAACCAGGAAACTCTAAACAGAATAACAGAAGTATCGTTCATTGCGAAAGCCAAAGTTACATTTCCAAGAAACTTCCAAACAAATATGTAACCAAATGTTGACAAGTACTGTACACTGAAATGTACGAAGCTCTGGAAGAGCCATCCGACTTGTTCAGATACTGACTTTTATTATCTCAGGTTGACGAAATATTACAGGCAAGATGACGACATCCTGAAATAATTTATGAGGGGATGGCGACATCATGAAAGTAGGATGACGGCATCCTGAGATCATTTCTTAGAGGATGACGACATCCTGAAAATAAAATGACGACATCCTGAGATAATTTATTACGGGATGACGACATCCTGAAAATAAAATGATGACATCCTGAGATAATTTATTAGGAGATGACGACATCCTGAAAGTAGGATGACGACATCCTGAGATAATTTATTATGGGATGACGACATCCTGAGAGTAGGATGACGACATCCTGAGATAATTTATTAGGGGATAACGACATCCTGAGAGTAGGATGACGACATCCAGAGAAATCGCAGAGAGCATGGAAGCCATCTTGGAAACGCACATACATCACGACCTCTATCATCATATAAATACCATGTATATTCAGCTACAGGTGAGCAAATGATAGTATGTGCACATAGTACATGTACACACTCTTGTTTTAATATACTCTCGAGGACAATGCTTTGTGTTTTAGTACAGGCAATATAAGGTTTGACCTCAAACAAATTGCAACAGAATGTTTTTCACCACAGTGCATTTCCATAAGGTCCCTAAAATGACATACTAAAAGTCTTAAGAAATCGAGGTGGTGGAAATATGCCTAACTTGCATAAATCCAAAATGGTCGCATATGTTAGGACTTTCGCATTGATTTGGTCATATTTCTCATACTAGGTAAATTTTGGAAGTAATTTAAACAACAGTTTTAGTCCTCTTACATTGATTTACTCACTATTCTAGTCCTAGGTAAATTCCAAGATCCCTATGTTTCCGAAATTTTCCAAATGCCATATAATTTGCATAAATGCCGTATATCAATTTCCCTAAATTAAAGTTAAAATAATGGATGCCATGTATGGACATGTACCAATTAAATTTTCCCTGATGATCCAAGTCAAATTTCACAACACAGTGCATTGCTATAAGGTCCCTAAAAAGTTGTTAAAAATCCAAGTGGTGGAAATATGCCTAATTTGCATAAATTCAAAAGGCCGCTAATTACATGATGTTCATATGATTTGCGGCCATAATAGTATAAAAGCCGTTATGTACATTTGCTTTTTTTGTTTAAGAAGAAATTTTTGCCATATTTGGAAAGAGTTTACCTCCCTAAGCCGGAAATGCATTTTTTCCCAGCTACCATGTGGCGGCCATCTTGGATTTCAAAATGGCCGCCATTTCGAGCCTAATTTGTATCGTAACTTCGGACTTGATTGTCACATGTGATTTATTTTGATGGCAAACCCCATGTTTTGATACCAAGGAACCTGAGTACATTATTGTTTATGGTGTACTCCAAATGGATGGCAGCCATCTTGGATATTTCAAATATATGGCCGCCATTTTCGGCTTATTTGCATAATAAATTTGGACTCGAAAGGCGTACAAAGTCAATTTCGGTGCAAACCCCATACATTTGATACCAAGTAATCTTAATGACCCATTGCTGATGATGTATCCCAGATGGATGGCAGCCATCTTGGATTTTTTTTCAAATTAGCCGCCATCTTGGATTTCATTTATAATAACATTGCACCTGAATGTCCTATGAAGTCCATGTATTTGAATGAACTCAAGTAAATCACTGTGGACGGAGTACTTACAGTTGATGGCAGCCATCTGCGATATTTCATAATTGCCGCCATTCTGAACTATTTGCATATTAATTTTGGACTTGAATGTCGTATAAAGTCACTATTGGTGGCAAATCCCAAGGAACCCAAGTTAATCATTTTTGATGGGGTACTCCACTGGGAGTATATCCCATCTACAATGATTTTCTTGGGTTCCTTGGTATCAAAAACATGGGGTTTGCCACCAAACTGAACTTCTTATGACAATCAGGTCCGACGTTAGATACAAATTAGGCCCGAAATGGCGGCCATTTTGAATTCCAAGATGACCGCCACATGGTAGATAGAAAAAAATGTTACCAACAGATTTCCAGCTTAGGAAGGTAAAGTCTATCCAAATATGAGAAAAATTCCTTCTTTAACAAAGAAAAATGCAGTGGCCAAAATACGACATAAAATGCTATCTAGTAATAACTCTCGTCCTAAGTTGCTTTTCGGGGTACTTTAAACAACATTTTGTCATTTGACATTGAGACCATTCAGTGTGAAATCACCCCCCCCCCCCAAAAAAAACCTTTTAAATTTGAAACCCCAACCTCTTCAAATTGGATCATATTTAGTTTATTGGGTAATTTCGGCTGTAAAGCCGAAATTTTAAGTTTTAGCACCATCGGACAAACAGTTTTCGTGCTACCGCCCAGGCAATTTTAGTCAAAATGGACATTGCTGCCATTTTAAATGACCATATTTCTATAATCTGTGAGCCAAATTTGTTAATCTTAATTTCTTTTGAAAGGTTACATCATGAGAAATCCAAATTTACCATTTTTTTTTTCATGTCGGGGTTATTTGAAGTATAATGACATTTTGACCTTTAATTTGACCTTGAATTTAGCCTAGTGGATCACCCGACATTGAGACAAACTTGGATGAAAATTAAACCCCAAGATGTTCGCTACACAGTATCAAACAATTGGGAGCAATATATATTTTGTTCGGTTTTTGGCTCATCTCAAAGTTGGCATACGTGTTGCAAAATGTGATATCCCTTTGCAGTGTACTAGTGGATTAAAAGTAGGGATTTTTGTCCCTGAAATGTGTTTATGTACAGGGTGTCGGAAGACTGTTAAAATATTATTCCTTTTATTTTCTGAGTTGATTTATCAATCACTATTTTTTTTTACGGCCGTGAAGTGTTATGTAACTTCGGAGGTGGGTGCTAGGTAAATTATGCAAATCGTAATTCCTTTTCCCTTTGTTGCATACCAATTCCGGGCTTGCACCCATGTGGGAGGGGTATAAAACCCTCGCCCACGTATTTTCGGATTGAGTTTTGCGGTTTTTGGTTTATTTATTTCCCGTAATATATATATTTTGTTTATGGGATTTGTAACTCCTGTGTTGAATCCTCTGTTCTCTTGAGTTATTCCTTGATTTTTGGTATGAGTAGAGCGGCGCAAGGGTTCGCTCTGCGACACAGGGATACCAACTTTGACAAGAGCTAGAAACCTAACAAAAAATATTATACCCCATAGGAAACATAGGATCTCAAAAGGTACTTCGGACTGGAATGATGATGCAATCAATGTCAAAGGACAAATTGTTGTTCAAAGTACTCCAAAAAGCAATGCAGGACAAGAGTTATGGCCAAATCAAAAATCATTTAATTAGTGGCCATTT